TATATGTGTGAATGGCAAGATATTGGCCCCATTCATTTCTAGATCTGGATCCTGCTGTGAATGGCATGCAACCCCTGGAAATGCAGCTGGATGGAAAAAGTTCCCCACTTCTATCTAAATGACAGGTTAGCTTAAGTCCTGCTCTTAAAATTTTGATCCAGACTAAAAACGTAAGAAGAGTCCTGCTGGATCAGGCCAAGGGCCCATCTAATCCAGCTCCCTGTATCTCCCAGTGGCCCCACCAGATGCATCTGGGAGCACACGAGACAATGAGAGAGCCCTCCCCTGCATCTGGCATTTTAAGGTACCTTCCTTTTAAGCCTGGAGATTGTACATCCCCATCATGTCTTGTAGCCAGCAATGGACTCTAGGAATCTGTCCAGCACCTGTCTGACATAAATTTGAAACTTGAGCTTTTCTTTACTTCATTCTTGCCGTTTACCAAAAATATATACTGCTGGGGCAGATAGACAAGAATGAGAAGTTAATGCACAGTGTTGACTTAAGACAAGAATGAGAAGTTAATGCACAGTGTCAAAAACTGAAAGGAAGGAGTATCCGAAGGAACCATGTGGAGTTTGTGGCATTTGCTCCAACCAGACTGCTATAATGTTGGACAGAACATGAAACCCAGGAAGTTGTTTCTGAAAAAGTTATCATCACCTTAGAACTGCAGAGGCTGGAAGGAACCCTATGGATCATCAAGATCCTCCCCTGTCAAGGAGGCACAGTGGGGAATCAAACCCCCTAGCCTTTGGCTCTGCAGCCAGATTCCTAAATCAGTGAGCTAGCACTGGCAGTATGAAAGGCATCCTGCATGGACAACGCAACCCGTAATGTCATCCATTATTCAAATGAGGAGAGAAACAGTAATGGCTGGAACATGTGCACTGTGGAAAGCAGGCAGATCTCATGACAGCATTCTGGACTCGAAATACAGTAGTGCCTCGCAAGACGAAATTAATCCGTTCTGGGGTTAATGTTGTCTTGAGATATTTTCATCTTGTGAGCTGCTGTTTCCCATAGGAATGCATTGAAATTTAATTACTGCGTTCCTATAAGAATTTTTTTTTAAGTCACCGGTTAGGGAGCTGGGGAAGCACCATCAGAGGACTGGTGGGGGGCCCCCTTGCCCAGATCACTGCCTTAGGAGGTCCCCCGGGGCTTCCCTTGCACCATCAGAAGACAGGCGGGGGTCCCTCTGAGCAGCAAGCGGCGCTTGCAGAGGCTTGCCCAGCATCATTTTTGAAGATCGCACCCTTTCCCCCTGAAAGACTGGCGGGGGTCCCTCCGAGCAGCGAGCGGTGCTTGCAGAGGCTTGCCCAGCACCATTTCTGAAGATCACACCCTTTTCCCCTGCCTTCAGTAAGGCTCCGAATGGAAAAAAGCGCATTCATCATGTGAAAAATGGCCAAAGGAAGAATCTTCTTGCAAGGCACCAAAAACCTCACCGGACCCATTTGTCTAGCGAGTTTTTCGTCCGGTGAGGCAATCGTCTTGCGAGGCACCACTGTAAATAGCCACCCGGAAGGACATACAGAAAAACAGAGAGAATCACATTCATCATGCGAAAAATGGCCAAAGGAAGAATCGTCTTGCGAGGCACCAAAAACCTCACAGGACCCATTCGTCTAGTGAGTTTTTCGTCCAGTAAGGCAATCGTCTTGCGAGGCACCACTGTAAATAGCCACCCGGAAGGACATACAGAAAAACAGAGAGAGAACTATTGGTCTCACTTTAGTTGTTCACACAGGATGAACAGCCATTCCCTGTATGTATGTGGCCAAACAAAGATGGCCAAATGTATTTTGCCCACTAAGGCAAAGGAAAAGATGGTGTCCCTCTCCATTCCACATATAGAAGGTGACTGGCTTGCATCTGAATTCAGTTCTGGAAATTAGAGAGAGAACAGCAGGCTAGTTTAGCGAGCAAGGACAAAATGTGCGGCATTCCCAACTCTTGCCTTCCAGAGAATGAAGGTGGCAACCAGAAAGCGAAGGAGGAACAGCTGGGAACTGGTGCCCTCTCCAAGCATCTGCTGTCTGAGCACTTTTCTCACTCTGGCTAGCTGTAGGAACAACCCTGCAGGTAGCGAATTCCATGACTGAATATTTTTCCAGAAGTTGCAAGCACTATACATTGCCTCTGCGTTAAAACCTTACTAGATCAGAAGAGACACCTTCTGCCTTAGGCCTGAAGCCGCCAACTGCCAGTCTTAGTTAGAGTCACCACCCTGAATCCCTAAGTCTTGCCTTATCAAAATTCCAACATGGATTCAACAACCGGAATCCAATTGTATATTTCTGCCAGCATTAACATTAGTGGCTTAACTTTCAGCTGTGAATTGCCTTAAGTTAAAAAGCTGGAGTAGGTATTTTCTATCACACACTGAATTATATGGTTAGTGGACAACAGGAAAGTGGGCAGTCAGTCCTATGCTGACTCCTAACTTGCGGCAATTTGCCATTGAAAGTTGCACTGCTGGTGTTACACCGCAGGTGTAACTACGTAATAGGATTCTGGCCAATCAGTTTATTTTAGTTGGGAATACAACGGCCCCAAATGTATTGATTTTCTTTTTTGACATAGAGTAAGATTTTTCTTATGAAGGGGACTGAAACATGCAGTTTTCACACCAGTAACAATGGTGCAGTGCAATAATCACACGATTCTGCTGAAGGTGTGGATTGGCAAGACCTACCCTTAAATCTGGAGAAAAGTTTTCTGTAGAGGTAGAGACAGAATCCGACGAGACGACTGAAGCAGATTTTGTATGTGTCGAATGATCCGAGTGAGAGGTGGAAGCACTAGAGGAAAAAGAAGAAGAGGAGGAGGAAGAAGAAGGCAAGATTACGGTCTGATTTTGCAGAATAGTAATTATAGAGAAATTTTCCCATAGATTCTTTCTGACCAAGGACTGCAAGAAAAGCCAGCGCTTAATCTGTAGCTGTAATGACATATGGAAATTTGCAGAGGTGGCAAAGGTCACCTTGAGAAAATATGAGACTTGTTATTATTTATTTTGAATATCCAACATGGTATAGTGGATAGAGTGAGGGAACAGAAGTCTGAAAAACATGGTTTGAATCCCCATTTGGCCATGGAAACTCAATGGGGAAGTGGAACTGGTAAAACCACCCCTTAAATATTTCACTTACCTTGGAAGCCTTATTTGGATCGCTATAAGTCGGTTCCAACTTGACGGTCAAACACATTATTTATTTATTTGTTTGTTTGTTTCTCTTATTACCGAAATTGAAAAATTGCAAACAGGTAAAATACTAAAAACTATCTTAACTAAGAAATGGTTTACTATCAATGGTTTACTATCAATGAACACTGAAGGTACAGTCTTAAATCTAATTGAAATACTGTATAAAGATACATGCTCCAAGAATACTTGGCTACTGTGTTACATTCAGCCAGACTGAATTAATTCAGCTTGATAATTAAGCATGCACAACCCAGCCCTGCTGAACCCAATCTAACCCATAGCTCTACTAGTCGAAGAATTTCCTAGCCATCATGGTGACCATGGTGGATGATGAATTCTGGGAGTGAAAGTCCAAAAGATAACATTTCAAAGCTCTGACTGTTCCTGCAGTAAAGGGATTCCTTGATGGTCTCTGAGATCCATTTCAACTCTATGGCCAAAATCCTTTTAATTAACCTGCTGGCAGTACACAGTTGGCTTAAATCAGTGGTTTCCAAACTTCCAGCACAGCTTGTGGTGAAAAGTTCTGGGAGTTTTAGTCAAAGAACATCCAGGGACCCAAGGTTGAGAACCACTAGCTTAAATCTCATTGGCAAACTGCTATACCTTAAGAAGCTAGCATAGGCATTTGATAATGTGTGTGGCATTGCACAAGTTAGTATGCAACAGAAAGTGCTCACACTCATTTCTTAATTTGCAGCAATCCAGCCCCTACATTTATGCTATAGGGCTACACTGACGTGCCCTGGTTCTAGGCATGACGGCACCCCACTGTCACTTCTCTCCAGAATGACAAAGAACCTTGAGTGACTGTGCCTTTGGTATATCCTGTCAGCCAGCTACAAATCTACCTAACGGGAGCCTTGTCTAGCCCACTTTTTACCAGCTATCAGCACTTGAGTGTCTAAATTCGATAGTTAAGATTAAATGACGAAACTCTGCAACTGGGATGTAAAAGAGTTCTGCAGGCCATATTCAGCTGTGAGCTGTGCATTACCCTAAGCCCTCCACCCAATCTGTATCTTCAGATGATTGGGATTTAAAGCCAATGATAGGAGAACTGTGCTAGTCTTTTTCAACCAACCAGTAGTTTGTTGTTCTTAAGTTATTTCCAACTTATGTTAACTATGTCAGGGATTTCAAGATATGTGCAATATTCAAGAGGCCTGGTTTATAATTCCCATCCCTTGGTGAATTTCCTTGGCTGAGCAAGGATTTGAACCCAGGTTTCTTGAGTCCTAGCTTGACACTCTATCCGTTACATCAAACTGACTCTCAAATGTGTTGGACAACTCCCATGATTCTATCATTAGACACAGGATCCTGGGAACTACAGCCTGACAACTATTTCAAAGACGGTATCTCCCATAATGAGCTGGCCTGGGTGTTAAGATCATTAGGAGAGGCTTTTCTCTCAGTCCTGCCACCATCCCAGGTACATTTGGTACTGACATGAGAGAAGGCCATCTCTGTCACTGTTCCAAGACTTTGGAACCCCTTCCCACAGGAGGCCAGACTGGCCCCATGTTTGCTATCTTTCCACAAGCAGGCAAATATTTTTCTATTCTCGAAGGCTTTCATGGCCGGGATCTGATGGCTGTTGTAGGTTTTTCAGGCTGTTTGGCCGTGTTCTTAAGGCCTTAAGAACACGGCCAAACAGCCCAAAAACCTACAACAACCAAATACCTTTCTCTTCAGGCAAGCCTTCCCTAAATAATGTAGATACCTGTTTGTGATTTTTAGATGGACTGTTGTTGTGTTTTCCATTTTTGGGATTTCCCACAACTGAGTGACTTTCTCTGACTGACTTCCCACCCCTCTTTTTGAGAGTAAACCTTTGGTCTAGATGGGCAGGGTAGAAATCCAATCAATCAATCAATCACTCAAACAAACAAACAAACAAATAAATTTATATATATAAATTTGCATACATATTGTTTCTAGCTTTAATATTGCTTTTTAATTATGTAAGATGCTTCTTTATACGTATTCATTGTTCTTAGATTTATATATTGTCTTTTAATGATGTTAACCACCATTGTATTGTATGCTCATTTTCTAAACAGTGTTGTGAGCCACCTTGGATCCTTTTCAAAGAGAAAGGCGGCATAAAAATATTCCAAATAAATAAATAAACAAACTTTGGAGAGCACAAGGCTGAGAATGACCAGGCCAGAGTTTTGGCGATATTCTACACTCTTCAAAATCTCTCAACAGGCCATGCTGGATTGTGAGAGTCATTAATTTTCTGGATGTTAGCGGCCAGAATCCCATTGCTACTGGCTGTGTGTCCCTCTTCAAAAACCTCCTCCACACTGCAGACTAAGCTATACACGGACGTGAATCTACAGCTTGTATTTCCTGCCCTTTCATATCCTTGCACATCCTATTAATCTGCCATTCAAGAGGAACAATTCATGGATCAGAGGAAGCCATGGACAAAAGCCTGTGAAAGCTTCTATTCCTACACACAGAAATCTTTAAGGAATTAGTCTTTAAGGTGGCACAAAGCTCTTTTTTTTGTGGGGTAAATGTGACAAATGCAGCCACCTCTCCAGAAGGTATCCCAGTGAATAAAACTAGACCAAACCTTTAGAAATCCAGCAGGTGAGCCCCCTATGTGACCAATCTGAATGTGACTTATGGCCAGATCCAAGCAATTGAGTAAGAGAATTTGGAGAAGAGAAAACAATCAGGGTTGCACAGCAATGATATACCATATTTTTCAATGTATAAGACACTACTTTTTCGTAAAATCGTTACATTAAACATTGAGGGGCATCTTATACACAGAAGTAAATGAAAATATGGATTGAACAAAACGGCCCATACCTTGGCTCTGTAAACAGGCTTCCTTCAATCACGAGGCTTAGCTTCCTCGAATCATGAGCCTTATAGAAGGGACGTCAGCTGATGCTGAACAAACCGATTGGAACACACTTCGTTGGAGGTGGAGCCTGTAGGCTCAGATGCAACAGGGACTCATAATGTCAGAGGCTGAATACTCAAAGCTATGTTTCCTTAATTTTTGGGTTAGAAAAGTGATGGGGGTGTCTTATAAACTGAAAAATATGGTATATCTTCAGCCGTCCGTCCGTCCGTCCGTCCGTCCGTCCCTCCCTCCCTCCCTCCCTCCATCTATCCATCTATCCATCCATCTATCTATCTATCTATCTATCTATCTATCTATCTATCTATCTATCTATCTATCTATCTATCTATCTATCTATCTATCTATCTATCTATCTATCTATCTATCTATCTATCTATCTCCTGATGAACAATTGGGAAAAGTACCCTATATACTATCCATGGGTGAGCCTTCCCCCACTATGAGAGTAAATTTCGTGTTAACATCCTCACACAATAGCCTACAGTGTCCTAGGCAGTGTTCATGACTATTAGTCTTTCTTCCTTTTAAAAAAAAACAGGGGGATGGGTGGGGGCTAAATTATAAAATAGCCTGCAGTCTGTGCAAGTCGCTCAGTAAACAAAGCAGGGATTGTTGGAATCTTTTTCTGTACTCCAAAACTAGAAAGCCAACCACCCATTGAAATGCAGTACAGCGTTCCTATGGAAAAAAAAACCCTAGGCAGCCACTGAATTGGGCCATTCATGAGTCAACAGCCCAGTCCTGCAGTACTGGCTATAGAATTCAGCTTCCCCTGGGAATTCTCCCCTTTCTTTTTCTTTCTTTCTTTCTTTCTTTCTTTCTTTCTTTCTTTCTTTCTTTCTTTCTTTCTTTCTTTCTTTCTTTCTTTCTTTCTTTCTTTCTTTCTTTCTTTCCTCAATCTCAAAGTAATGTATGTTACACATTCTCGTTGCTATGTGTTGCTTTTGACTTTTGGTAACACTATCAGTCAAGATCATGTCATTAACAGTTCTGCTCAGGTCTTCCAGACTAAAAACCAGGACTTTCTTTTATTGATTCAATGCATCTCATGTTAGGTCTTCCTCTTTTCCTACTGTCTTTCACTTTTCCCACTACTGTTGTTTTTCCAAGGAAGCCACTCCTGCTATGTCCAAAGCACTAGAGTCTCAGATTAGTCATTAGTCACTGACTCTGCTGGCTAGGGCCTGGTGGGAGTTGCAGTCCAACAACATCCAGAGACCTTCATTTTGCCACCCTACTATATACCCTTTCTCCTTTCTCACCAGCAAGACAATATATGTGAAATGACGTGGTTTTCAGAATCCATGTAGAATCCAGCTTTTTGTTCTTGCTTTTGTTCTGTTTTGTTGTTTGGTTTTGAACTACTTGTTGGAATTCAGATTTCTTTGACTTCTGGTTTCTCTTTTTCTAACTAGCATAAGTGGCTCATAAATGGAGCATGGAAGCACCTCGACTCAAAATCTGGATATAAACTCCCAACAATTTCATGTGTCAAATGAAGTTACCTCAAGTAATTAATAATTAGTAATTAGTAATTAAACAATTATCCACAGGATAGAATCTTGTTGGCAAATGATGAATGTAAGGGTTCTGCAGTCAGAGCACTCTGCATTTGCTGCCATGGTCTGGAGCTTGTAATCATATAAGCCAGGGATCTTTCTCATGAAAACAATGGGGTTTCCCCTAGTTCAAGGGGTTAGTGGATTCCCCCTTATGCAAGCAGCAATGAAGGAGAAATCATTCCTCAACAGACTTTCCATGTCTGAATTAATACACAACAGACTACAGTATTTGCAAATGTCCCAAGGCCTGTGGAACTGGGTAAATGCTCCACTTTCCTGTTTCTCAAAAGTAACAAAAATAGTTACTTTTAGTTAGCTCTTAAAAATCTAAACATTTCCCATTCATGTTCCCAGGCACAACTCAATCCAGCACTTAACCATAAGATATTCCTTTGCTACCACATCTATGGAACTAGAAAAGTAACTAGAAGTTACAGAAGCAACGTTCTCCTAGTTAAGCTACAAGTTGCATCTTCATTACAGGAAAGCAAATTAATTTTACGCAACTAATTACTTGGAACTAGTTTTATTTTCTGGCTAGTGCAGAAGGGACGTGGTGGCGCTGCGGGCTAAAACCACAGAATCCTGTGCTGCAGGGTCAGAAGACCAGCAGTCGTAAGATTGAATCCATGGGACCGAGTGAGCGCCCGTTGCTTGTCTCAGCTCCCGCCAACCTAGCGGTTCGAAAGCATGCAAATGCAAGTAGATCAATAGGGACCACCTCGGTGGGAAGGTAACAGCGTTCCATGTCTAAGTCGCACTGGCCATGTGACCACGGAAAGATTGTCTTTGGACAAATGCTGGCTCTATGGCTTGAAAACGGGGATGAGCACCGCCCCTAGAGTCGAACACGACTGGACAAACATTTACCTTTACCTAGTGCAGACTACCCTGGGACAGAAAAGCAAATAGACCAGAGGTGTAACCAGTCAAAGAGCCATCCGTGCTACCAGCCAAAAGATATTTTGAAGCTATCCTGTTTTCCCCTTCACCTTTACCTAGTGCAGACTACCCCAGGACAGAAAAGCAAATAGACCAGAGGTGTAACCAGTCAAAGAGCCATCTGTGCTACCAGCCAAAAAATATTTTGAAGTTATCCTGTTTTCCCCTTCTTAAAAGTATTTTCTGTGATAGGTAAGAAAGGCTGGAAGAAAAGGTGAGAAAACACAGAAAGATTACAAACAAAAAGCAACATCATCTGAGCCCTAAGTAATACTATTTGAATAAGGCAAGGTAATTGTACACTTTGAACACCTTTGGCTGGAAGCATTTGTGAAATAAGGTAATAGCCGATCATCTGCAAGCATGAACAGAGAACAGACTCCATCAAATCTTCTGGACAGAACATCAGAAACCCACAAGCCATCACACTCAAGCCCAAAATAGAAACACAGATGGCAAGCTTTCCGATGCACCCCATAGTCTGCACTGGAATATAGAAACAGCTTTGCTTTCTTCCTTTCCTTCTGCAAGCTGCTTCTTAAAAAAGAAAAGTGGGGGGAGAATGGAGGACAAAAACATCCTTAAGGGCTTGTAGAAATGTTCTGTACAGTTCTAAAAGACCAATTTGCATTCCACTCACTCCAGGAATCTTAAGTAGTATCACTTACGGCAGATTATTTTAAATTTACTTGGTTAAGGCAAAACTGAAGTCACTGAACTGAGAGAACATAAAATGTGCAAACAGGCCTAGGGTGCTGCCCCAAATAAAGCAGGGCTCCATGGTCCATTTGGCTGGGTACTGTCTGTTTTGATCGAGAGGAACTGCAGATCTCTCACAGAGAGCTTTCCGAGCCCCATTAGAGCTGGCTGAGATCTTTGGAGCTAGGTAAAGGCAAAGGTTCCCCTTGACATTTAGTCCAGTCGTGTCCGACTCTAGGGCGTGGTGCTCATCCCCGTTTCCAAGCCGTAGAGCCAGCGTTTGTCCGAAGACAGTTTCCGTGGTCACTTGGCCAACACAACTAGACACAGAATGCCGCTACCTTCCCACCAAGGTGGTACCTATTTATCTACTCGCATTACATGCTTTTGAACTGCTAGGTTGGCAGGAGCTGGGACAAGCGATGGGAGCTCACTCCGTCGCGTGGATTCGATCTTACAGCTGCTGGTCTTCCAACCTTGCAGCACAGAGGCTTCTGTGGTTTAACCTGAAGCGCCACCATGAGCTAGAGTGGAGCTAGAGATCCCTGCAAAGGGATGAAACCTGAAAATTTCTGCCTGCAAAACATGTGCTTTGCCACTGAGCTACTGACTCCACTAACCTGTAGATCTATAGCAGAATCACAGAATAATGGAGATGGAAGGGGCCTCTAAGGCCATCAAGTTCAACCCCCTGCTCAATGCAGGAATACAAATCAAGGGATATCTGCCAGGTGGATGTCTAAATTTCTCTTGAATGCCTCCAGTGTTAGAGCACCCACCACCTCTTGAGGTATCTGGTTCCATTGTGATACTGCTCTAACAGTTAGGAAGCTTTTCTGGCTTCCTATAACTTGACCCCACTCTTGCGTGTCCTGCACTCACAGACAATACCGTCCCAAGTAACCAAAGGCAATGCCATCTGGACACCAGATCCTGATCAGGAGGAGGCAGAATGCAACAGAAGGAGAATCAGCACAGGAAACGAGATCAAACCAAGACATGCGTCTTTGGTGAACAGCACCACAGGTTTCTTTGAAGGGCTTCCTATAACTTGACCCCACTCTTGCGTGTCCTGCACTCACAGACAATACCGTCCCAAGTAACCAAAGGCAATGCCATCTGGACACCAGATCCTGATCAGGAGGAGGCAGAATGCAACAGAAGGAGAATCAGCACAGGAAACGAGATCAAACCAAGACATGCGTCTTTGGTGAACAGCACCACAGGTTTCTTTGAAGTGAGATGATAGCTCTGCCTGCAGAGAGTCCAAGATTCAATAAGCCCACTGACCTATAGTTCTATTGCTATCCAAAGGCATGAATATCCAGACATCCAACATGATGCGTAGCCAAAAGATGATGCAAGATAAGAAGAATGCAGGTCTCATCTTTGGTGAGCAGTTATAAAGGAGTCTTTGCAACAGGACTACAGGTCTGCATGCAAAAGATCACAAATCAACCCCTGGCACCTGCAGTCTTTTGGGGTTTTTTTTAAAATTTGAAAGTGGAGCAAGTAATGCAAAGGACCTAAGCTTGAAAGCATGGAGAATCACCACCGGCGAGACTGGATCATACTGGGCCAGAAAACAATATGGGGCTAGACAGACCATAGTTTGTTTTAGTACAAAGCAGTCTTCTATGCACTGCTGCCTGGATAGCTCAGTGAATTAGGGATCTGGCTGCAGAGCGAGTGGTTAGGAGTTCAGTTCCCCATGGTGCCTCTCAGAAAAAACATTCCATGTAGCCTTGGGCAAGCTGCACAGTCCTAGGATGCTCCCAGAGAAAGGGAATGGTAAAACACATCTGGGTACCCTCTATAAAACCCTGCAAAGAGTCGTCAGTCAGAAATGACTTGAGGGCACACAGTAATAATTATCAGAACTCTATGCAAAATATAGAAAAGTTAGGCTTTGGAATTCCTCTGTCAGAATGGGGAAATTCCAGGAGCTGAAGTCACAAATGTCCCTCTTCTAAAATGTTTTTCTGTGCTCCCTCTATGTTCATAAAACTTTAGCTAATCAATCAAACCACATATTTCAGATGAAGCTGTTAAAACAATGCCATTTTCCCAACCAGCAGGTTCGAATTACACTTCGTTATTCTTTCCCCTCCCAGATAAAGTAGTGATCTTTTTTCAACAAGAAATAAATAGAAAAGGAAGACAAAGCAAAAAAAAAACCAACAACATCCAACAAACCAAGAGCTCAATACTCCTATCAGAAGTCACTGATCTAGAACGGCTGTCCACAATGTAGAAAGATAATCTGGCACACAACACATCAAGGAGCTATTATTGTAATAAATGAATACCATGTTGTATTATCACCTGTTTGTGCCTTCCTTGGATTTCAAAACCAGTTGGTTGATTTTTTCCCCTATAAGACCAACAGACCAGAACCTACATTCTTCATTTTATTCTAGGTACCTTCCAGTGTAGAGAATTTTCCAGTTGTGAAAGGTGAGGGAGGCAGGGGGGCAACAGATTAAGAAAAAGAGCAAGTCCCCCCCCCAACTCCTCTACAAAAAAGCAACAAGCACCCAAGAGCGGGAGAAACACTGATTGATGGGTGACGCCCTGAATGTCTACTTTATGTTATGTATAGATAAGTTGATTCAAACTTATGGCAACCCCAGTCATCATCATCTTAGAACTGCAGAACTGGAAGGGACTTTATGGATCCTTGAGCCCAGCCCCTTGTCAAGGAAACCCAGTGGGGAATCGAACTCGCAACCTCGACTTGAACCACTGAGCTATCCAGCAGCTCAGTTTCAAAGTATGTAGAATGTTTAAGGAATGGGTTGTTTCCTCCCCCCCCTTCACTGCCACCCCGACCCAATAAGTGATGGATTTGAAACCAGCTCTTGGGGGGGGCAGAGAGCCCTCCTCCAACCATTTCTACCCTAAACCACAGTGGCTCTTTTTCAAACCCAGGGGCGGATCCTTCTTCCTTAGCGTTTCCTTTAATTGCAGTTCTCTTGCTTCCACGGCTGCTCGCTGGCAGGATGATGGGAGTTGTCGTCCGAGCGAGCAGGGGGGGCGCCGGTGCATCTCGGCGCATCTTCCCCAGCCATCAGGGGCGGCGTCAAGGGCGCCTTTCCTTTCCTTTGTAATCGCTGGGGGAGGACCGCAAAAATGCAAAGCCAAGAAAGACACACACACACACACCGCATCCCATCCCACCCCCCAAGGAGAAGGAGGAGGAATAGGAGGAGGGTTACCTGGAGAGGGAATCGATACTCGGCTGGCGGGTGGCGGCCGGCGCCGGCTTGGAGGCGAGGCTCTCGCAGCTGGCGCTCTTCTCCATGCTGGGTCCCCCCTTTGCGCGCCGACGAC